GTATCCACGGTGACAAAAGCCAGCAGGAGCGAGACTGGGTTCTAAATGGTAAGTGTGACTCCTAAACTGTTCTTGGTCAGATTTTTAATCTAAAAAGTGCCAAGAATATAGATAAACTGACCAGACTGTGTTCTGTTACAGAATTCAAACATGGAAAAGCTCCTATCCTGATTGCTACAGATGTTGCATCCAGAGGTCTAGGTTAGTACAACTCCTCTAATGCCAGTTGCCAAACATTTTAAAGAAAGTTCATTGCTTTCTTTAACCTCTGCATTTTTCTAAGTTTTTTTCACATAAAGGTGCAGTCTTTGTGGCAAGGCCTAGGCATGACAATCGGAGGACTCGAGGGGGATGGAGGACTAGTGGAAATGATCGGCTGGCTGCTTCCAGTCGAATAGAGAGGTGACAGCTGAGAGCATTGTGTGCCAGTAATCTTCAAAAGGCAAAGACCATCTTTTAAACTACTACCCCATAAACTGTTCTCTCATGAAACAGCAGTTTTTATTCACAGTTCACTTTGCCCTGGTATTTCTTTTCTGTCCCATGCTTTGCATGATTGCCATGGTACAGTGTTGTTAACTTTGTGCGTACTGTTCGCTGTGATCTGTGGGTCTTTGAATTTCAGTGACTTTTTGCTGAAATGTCGAAGAAAATTATGAACTTCATTGTTCAATGAAATTCATTTCAACCTTGAAATGGAGAGAGCAGCTTTAAAATGTACTAAGCCTTGTACAAATTGGTGAGTACTGGCACATGAGATCTGAGAAAAAGTCCACCTCTCACTTTAGCAAGTGGGGTGGGAAAGCAATGGCTTCTCCTTTTGAAAGTCAAAGTTCCTCCTTCACCTATACACCAGTCGTCATGTCGAGACCTGCCAGAGAGAGACACATTCTCAAGTGAACCCTGGCTTCTTGGAAGCGCTTGCCTAGACGAGACACAGTGCATAAAAACAACTTGGTGACTTTGGGGGACAGGTATGTTTTTCTTGCAGCTGCGGTTGAAAGGTCTTGGCAAGACAAGCAGTGTGGCCCATTTTTTTTGAGCTTCTGATGAGTGTGTATGTGAAGGACCTTGTGTGTTTTTACTCTAAGGTCCTCAAATGAGCACATGAAGAGGCTGCTGTGAGCTTTAGTGGCCCTACTGCAAGAAGCATTCAGAAGTCACTTGATGATTTGTAAGGGAACTCTTGAGTTGGGAATGACAAGCAAATGCATTCTCCTTTATGGTAAGGTTTTTAGGTCACTGGGTGGGTGATAAGATGGGTACAGATGGAGTGTGCATACTTTTTTCTCTTCCACAATATTCAAGCAAAAAGGATGATTCTAACAACATTCTTTGCAGCCATTAGCGTCTTAAAAATATAGTTGTCTAACGTTTATTTTTGATTTGGCTGTTGTGGTGTGCAAAACTTTGTACATTGCTTTTTGCCACACTGCAACACTTTACAGATGTGGAAGATGTGAAATTTGTCATCAATTATGACTACCCTAACTCCTCAGAGGACTATATCCACCGAATTGGACGAACTGCCCGCAGTACCAAAACAGGCACAGCCTACACATTCTTTACTCCTAACAATATAAAGCAAGTAAGCGACCTCATCTCTGTGCTTCGGGAGGCTAATCAAGCTATCAACCCCAAATTGCTTCAGTTGATTGAAGACAGAGGTTCAGGTAAATAGTCCATTTACTACACTTCTTCTCTCCTCTCTTTCCTCTCCCCCCTCCCCCCCCCAGTGAATTTTCTTTTTGTAGCCTGGTATGTAGCTTTAGACAAATGTTTACAACTTCACACTGCCTCCAGAGACCCTGAACTTGGCCAGAATAGTACCTTTTACTTCAGGAATGCATTAAAATGTCATGATCTTGCCAATTAAAAGAAATGGGTTTCAAATCTGTTATACATGAATTGTACAGAATCAGGAGCATTGTCAATTGTATGGAAAATAAAACTTTAATTGGCCCATGGCCATATTATACTACAGTAATCCACAGCAGACCACTGTCCCTTTGAAAGCACCATCAAAGATCGGTGATAAACTCTAAAGGCTATATTCTTTCTTTGGCACCAAAGTTTACTCCATCTGCTACTATTAGCATTGGTGGAGAAAAATATGGTTGTCTGTACTACATAGTAGGCCCTTTATTCCCATCCTTCATTTCCTTCCCTGTTTCTTTCTGTACCTCTAAACATCCTTTGTGCAACCTCCCATTTTCCCCCCTGGACTTCATTATTGCTTTTCTAGTCAAACCACTTAATTTGATCATTGTAAGTGCTTATATTGGGGTTGTGTAGAGTTAACACCCTGAGATCAGTGTCAGGCAGTCTGCAGACTGGGAACGCATCTGTGTTTGCACTTAGTTCATGTTTGAAAAAGTTACGGTGACAATGATGAGCTTAAACTCTTCAAATAAAAGTTTTGTGTATAGAAATCTGGATGCCTTAAAGTGCAGATACATTAAGTGGGAAAGGTACTTCCTTATAACATGGATATTGATGCTTGATTGGCAAATAACTCTTGAAGCCAGTATCTCATCTAGATTTTTTTTTTCCCCCCCTTCACAGGTCGTTCCCGAGGTGATCGACGTGACAGATATTCTGCGGGCAAAAGGGGTGGATTTGGTAATTTTAGAGAGAGAGAGAATTTTGAGAGAACTTACGGTGCAGTAGGAAAGAGAGACTTTGGAGCAAAAGCCCAAAACGGTGGCTACAGTGCTCAAACCTACAGTAATGGAACTCCATTTGGAAATGGCTTTGCAGCTGCTGGCATGCAGGCTAGCTTCAGAGCTGCTGGTAATCCTGCAGGAGCTTACCAGAATGGTTATGATCAACAGTATGCAACTAACATTGCGACTATGCACAATGGTATGAACCAACAGCAGTATGCATATCCTGCCACTGGTGCTGCTCCTATGATAGGTTACCCAATGCCAGCAGGTTATACTCAATAACTTTAGAAGTATATTTAAATGTCTGTTTTTTTTCATAATTGCTCTTTATATTGTGTGTTATCAAGACAGGATAGTTATTTAAGAAACTTACGGAAAATGCAGAAATGACTTCAGTGCAGCAGTAATTATGGTGCACTTTTTCGCTATTTAAGTTGAATATTTCTCTACATTCCTGAAACAATTTTTAGTTTTTTGTACTAGAAAATGCAGGCAGTGTTTTCACCAAGTAAATGTACAGTGATTTGAAATACAGTAACAGAGGGCAGTGCATGGCCTTCCAATAAAGATATTTGAAGACTGAATTTTCTGTGAAATGGTTTACGTCTCAAGTGTGCAACTTTACATCAGTGGAACATGATAAATGTTTTTCTATTAAATCCCAGAAAGAAGCTTACTGCATGTCTTATTTTATCCTCTCAATAACCATCTTAAATAACTTCATCTATTGCTAGAGAACCAGCTTATTGCATTCTAGTGCTGTGACTTCCTTTTACTGGTTATAAACACTCAAACTCTTTGGAGAACATTAGCTGAACTCTATTGGCAGAACTGGCTTCAAATTTAGTATTGAAGAAAGTAATTTTATGCATTTGTTTGACTCTAGAGTAGATTTAATCTGTGAAAATACATGGAAACAATGGTACAGCTAAATCGTTCTTAACCAAAACTCATTAGATGAAGGGCAAGAGTAGTATGCAGCTGTCCTACAGAAGCTTTTATCAGCCCTTCAAAGCAAGGGTGCTGTAAACCATGCAAGCTGGGAGTCCAAGATCTAGTATTAAAACCTTTGCAGCCATAAATGTTAGAGCACTAAACTCTGTATACAAGTAGACCTGAATTGGTTTGCATGGAAGCCTGTTTCCCAGGATTTTATAGACCTAGATAACCAAAAGGGTAATGTGGGACTTAACACTCAACATGTACTGTGCAAAGATGTTACCCAATACTCTTCCCATTAACTCAAAAGGCTCATTAAATTAGTTTTTTACAACAGTTATTCCTTAAAACTGCATCGAGCGGAGGTTCTTAGTGTAGGAGCTGGAAAATGTTATGCTCATACAAAGCACACGGGGTCTTTATATAGAGAGAGGCAAATATGCAGCATTTATTGAGAATACAACAGTTAGCATATGCTTTTCAGTCTTTCTCCCTCCCTCCTGCTAGTGATGTTCATAGTTACCAGTCTGTTGTAGCTCGAGTCAATCTACTGGCCAGTTAGATTGAGCACGAGTGTGGAGTGGGTTCTTGTCAGTCGTGATCCGATGCTCTGAGGCCTTGCAGGACTGAACCTAGAGTTCCATGGCAAAACACCCCAGCTTTATAGTTGTAAATTCCCATTTGAGTCCATGCATTTTGCAATGTCATCCTGTAATCATAGTCTTTAAGTGGTATCATTTGATGGTTATTGTCCAGCTTCCCATCATTACCTCCTATTTATTGTCTCGCCTTGGGGGGTGCTTGCCTCACCTCTGAGGTAGCTTATGCTGCTAACAGGGATACAATGGATGTTTTCTGATTGTCTCCTGGTCTTTCACTTCTTGACCATCTGGACATTTGTGATGGCTTTCATACCTTATCTTTTCCTTATGCATACATTCCTCATTCACACAATCTCTTACAGAAACCTTCAAAGGTATACAGATAGCATTTTGTATTCAACAGAATACATTGTAAATCAAGCCTACAATTTACATTGGGGCTTCAGGCCCTCAACATTCCTCTAATCTGCTTAACATAGATACAAGATCCTGTTTCTTACTTTCTAAACCTTAAAACAAAGAAATGTATATTTAACTAGAGTGCCTAATTTGTAATACATATAGGAAACCATAGTAGACATAACTTATCCTAAAACAAAAGGGTGACCATAATCAGTCATAAGGATTGTTCTGACAGGATGAAATCAAATATACATTAATTCTTATAAAAAGGGGGCTGATGGGATGAAATCAAATCATACATTAAGTCTCATAGTACATTATAAAATCCAGCTCCTACACTAGGATTAATAACTTTCTGGGCACAGGGAAGAACCTTCCATCTTGCAACATGGATATTGTAGGTGAGCCCTGAAATGCGAATTCTGTTCTAAAATCACCCAGCCTCCCAACAGTGTTCAAGATGTAATCACTATTTAACTACATATCTACATAAAAAAAAAAAAAAAAAAAAAAGTGGAATGCAGTAGCATTCTCTTAGGAGGCCTTTGGCTTGTCTGCTATAACTTTCACTAGCAAATCATGTGGTACAATAGAACACGAACTATACTATGTTGCTGAATGCTAACATTTGTATTACCATTGTGTCTATAAGCCCTAGGTGCTGTACAAACAAAATGACAATCCTGCCCTCAAGCTCACCATGTAAAAAATCAGTTCTCATTTCCTTGTATTCTGTGCCCCTTGCCCCATGGAGCCAATACTGGTCTGGAGGATACAGTGGCCTCAGCCCCACAAGCAGCTGACTTGTCGAGTTTTTTTTTTTATTTTCCCCCCAGGAATTGGAAAACATGGCTTTTGAAGTAGCTTTGCCAAATGTGCTGATGAGACTTTCAAGTCAATCTTAGTTCAAGAAAGCCCTAGAGGTGCTGGTCACCACTCTTATTACAATATTAAGTCAATGGTGCATTCAAATATACCACTGTTAGCAAGTTGTAGCAGTACTAGGACCTGCAGGTAAGATTGCATTTTTTAATTGCTGGGAGGGACTACTGCGAAACAATAGTCCATTTTAAAAGATGGAGTTGTATACATTGAATTGCTAACAGGACATACAGAAGTTGGTCAAATAAAATATATCCTGGGACTGACAACTACCCTGCATAAACACTGTAGGCATTTTCTAATCACTGATCAAAGCAAGGCTATTTACCTAGGTTTACACATGTGTGTTCTTTCAACCCAAACAGTCAAACAAGCAGCTTTTGTTTTGGAAAGTCAACTTTTATGAATATTTACAAAGTGTAAGTATTCAGCACTAATGCTCTCAGTCCTAAATGCCAGATTACCCAATTTAGTTGGGGGGCTGTTCCCTGCCCTCAAGAGGTGGCAGGTGGAGGTGTTGGATAGAATAGCCATATTAGCTGAGACCAGTTGTCAATCTAGCCCCTATTCTGTCTCTAACCTTGCTACTGCCAGTTGCTGCAGAGAGAATGAACAGAAGAGTAGTTTAAAGTAACCCATCCCCTAGCACACAGTCCCAGCCTTTGGCAGCTGGCGCTTTAGGGACACCTGGAGCATGTGGTTGCATACCTAACTCTTGGCTAATAGCCATTTATGGACCTGTCCTCCATGAATTTATCTAACTCTTTTCTGAACCCAGTTATACTTTTGGTGCTCACAACAGTCCATGGCAATGAGAACCACAAGTTGTCTGTGTGTTGTGTGGAGAAGTACTTCCTTTTTCTTTTTAAATCTTGTTGACTGTTTCATTAGGTGACCCCTAATTGTGTTATGTGAAGGGGTAAATAACACTTCCTTATTCACTTTTTCTATATCCTTTGTGATTTTATTGTCCTCGATCATATCCTGCCTTAGCTATCTCTTTTCTAAACTGAACAGTCAGTCTTTTTAATCTCTCCATTATGGAAGCAGTTCCATCCCCAAATCATTTTTATTTTCCTCTGCACTTTTTCCAATTCTAATATCTCTTCTGAGATGGGGGTGACCAGAACTGTGTGCAGAATTAATGGTGTAGGCATACCATGGATTTCTATAGTAGCATTATGATATTTTGTTTTGTTTATCCCTTTCCTAATGATTCCTGACATTGTTACCATTTTTTGACTGCTGCTGTACATTGAGCAGATGTCAGAGAACTATCCATGACAACTCCAACATCTTTTTCTTGAGTTGTGGCAGCTAATTTAGACCCCATCATTTCATATGTATAGTCGGGATTATTTTTTCCAATGTGCATTACTTTGCACTCATAAACATTGAATTTCACCTGCTATTTTGTCATCCATTTTAGTGGACTTACAAAATTACTCAAAATAGTTATAGTCTGCAAATTTTGCCATCTCACTGTTCACCCCCTTTTCCAGATCATTTATGAATATGTTGAATAGCACAGCACAGGTCCCAGTACACTGCCGATCCCATGGACTGGTCCCATTTCCTGCTCTGCCTTGTTGGCTCTTACCACAGTGCACAGACAGAGCCCTCCCCCCGCCCCCCCCCAAGACGTGGAACCTCCCTCCTGGGTTGTTGTGGGATAGGGATTCCCACATGGAACCCCCTTATATGGAGGCCCTGTGCAAGTGCACACTGGTTAATCAGGCCTGCCAGTCTTATCCCAGAATGCATTGACCAACATCCTAAAGCCAAGGCTGAGATGTTCATGGATTATTCCTATTTACTGTCTTGCCAGTGGTGGTTCATTCCCTCCCAGTTCCCCAACCTCTATGCCTGCCTATTATACTTCTCCTACTACTACTACCCTTTATTTCCCTTTTCACAGTCTTGTCACTCCAAAATTCCCTTCTCTCTTGTGTCTAACCTGATTTACCCCCCTTAAATACCAAACTACCCCCCTTAAATACCAAAGAAGTACTACCAGGACATACCTGCCATCATTCTGATAGCTTTGCGCTAGTATGTTTTATCCCTTTCATTTACCTTTTTATTTGGCATGGCTTTAATTTAATTTAATTTTTCTTTTTAACTTTTAGATTATAAACTCTTTGGGGCAGGGCGGGGACTGTCTGCCTGAATCCTTACAATGCCCATCTCAATAAGGCCCTAATTGTGGAAGCATTTCAGGACTCTTTTCAAATGTAAATAAGCTCTAAAGGTTCACTCTCCGATGTGGAGGGGATCTTCCTAAGACCTCCAGCAAAATAAATGGCAAGGAAATCAATCGATCTATAGTGGAAAGATGAAGGAGTGAGGCAGTCCTACTTGGAACTTTATGTATAAATTCCACAAGTGTTTGAAATGTCGGGGGTTTACCACTGAGCCTCCAGCTTAAGTGTCTATTTAAAGACAAACAGGAACTCATGAATTTACATAACTAAAAATACATAAGATAAAAATTAATTTAAATTTTAAGTGATTTGCTTAATTAGATTAAACAGGAAATTATCATGATTCCTTGTTCTTTATATAAAATTTAAAAGCAGGCATGGAGCTAAACAAAGGTGAACCAATGACCTCTCCCCTCCTTAGCTTGAAGCAAAATGCAAGTTCCATGTTCATTTGCTTTGTCTTGTTTGCTACAAGGAAATACGTAGAGACAAATAGGCAATTACAAGCCATAACTGGGCGTGGGAGGTTCATTAGGAAATGCATAGGGAGGAGCACTCCAGTGAAGTGGTTTTGTACTATTTTAGCAGAGTTTTTTTTGCGGTCGTGCTGGTACTAGGGAGAAACTGACACCTGCCAGCAACCATAAGGTAACAGTACACCACAGATTGTGGGATTAATAAAACTAGGCTTGTTAAAACTGTCTCTTCCTGTAGTGTCACAGAGAAGCCGACAGCCACCATAAACCGCAAGAGAACTCAACTCCTTTGATTAGTCACTACCCCACCTCTAGCTGTGATGTGGGTTACTAAGCCAGTATCTGCCAGCCTGTTACATCATAATGGGTACTAATTGATCCACTGTGGCACGCTTTAAAAGATAATAAATGTGTTATATTTTGAATTATTATCCCATGTATTTGTGTGTTTGATCTGATTTAGATTTGTAAACTTCAGGGGAGGGAAAGTGTGTCCCAGAATAAGGGCCTTGGGCAAATCAATTTCCTGCATCTGTAAAATGAGTACAATACGTCTATGGTTATGTTACTGTTGTCTATGGTAAAGATTTCCTTGCACACAGCCTGTAGAGCAGACAATTCCATAGACAGCACAAGCTATGCCACACAAGTTGTGGTATCTAGGTCAGGTGTAGTTTTACCATGGGTTCATTTTATTTAGCTCCCGCTCACAATGGGCTCAGAACTCTGTTAACTTTAACTGTTATAATTAATCAAAACATGCTTGTTGCTAGCAAGGTTCTAACACGGGTTCCTCAATGGGAATAAATGGGATTTTTTTTCTCCCACTAAGAACTGTAGTATAGAATATGACTCCTGATTCTCAGACAAGACTATCCTTGCCCTTTTCTAGAACCAAGCTAGTGAGAACTCTCATTTGTAAATACCATTGTAACTAGCAGGATTCTGATCCTACTGTGGATAGGATGTTAAACTGGATTTCTTTTGCTTAGCCGTGTAACTTATCAGGCTGACCTAGTGACCTAGTAACAATTCTTGTCAATCTTTTATTTTCACTCTGTTGCTCTTCTAGCCTGTAAAGCTGGCAACTGTGGATGATGGGATTATTCTGAATCAGTGAGACTTAAACATACATGAATTTTTCATAACATGCACAGCACATTGAATGCTTACTCATTAAGCTCCACCTACTGGAACTAGTTTAAATCCATGATTAGGAAACGCTGCTGCATGTATGGAAATTTCCACTGCCATGCTGTTGAGTCAGACTGCCAGTTGGGAGCTCATTAGCAGAACTAGCAGACAAACCTCCCTCACCTCGGCCACACACGCCTACAGCAGAACATTAGGTCCCTCCCATCTATGCTGTTTTAACCCTCTTTTATTGCCTAGGGAACCTTTCTGTTAGAGGCCTTTTTATATAACAATGCTGCTCTGACACGAACTGCAGCAAACATCTCCTATCTTTGTGACCACACTGGGCTTTGTGCATCCAGGGGCCTCACACGACTTATGTGTCTAGATTCAGAGCACCATCCCAGATTCTCCTTCCATAGTCCTATTTGCACTTAAACTCAGTAGACGACAGCTGTCATCACCCAAGCCCTGTTTGGAAAGTTGTGATTTGACTCCCATCTCCTGGCTCATTTGCCCATGCATGAATGTGTGCCCATGATGGAGGGGAAGGCAGAGAAGGGTTGCCAGAAAATGTTGTGGTCTCACAATAGGTGAAGGTGTTGGCACAACAGCCTCAAGACAGTAGGAAGTAGCCTCAGGTTTCATTCCTATAATCAGATCTATGCAGCTGGGTGCTAATACCTGCACAGAGTCCCCTGGGGTCAACTGGGGCTTCACGTGGGATCAGAGCCAAGTGCTCCGTTCATAATGACCCATGCTTTAAGGTGTTTCCTTATCAGAGACAGCTGTTTCCTGCTGGCTTGAAAAAACACCCTTACTGTTGGGCATTTCTTTTAATTAAAAAAAATAATAATCAAATGATAGAATAAAGTGTCATTTCAAACTGCAAACATTCAAATCGCCCTGAACCTGCCAGCACTGTTAGCCAGGCAGGGTACTGGGAGGGGGCACAGCCTCCCCAGGGGGAGGGCCATGTCTGCCCACTGCGTTGTCCCGCCCCCCCCCAACTGCAAGCCTCAGGCCGGGGCTGCGTTGGGGGGGGGCTGATAAGGTGATCAGCTCCTTGCTGGAGGCACCAGCCTCCTTCCGGTGGGGGAGGGGACACCCCCCCCGCTGCTCCTCCGAGGCCCCGCGCCCTGGCCAGGCCGGAAGCAGGAGCCGGACCGTGGAAAGAGCCGCCCAAGGAGCCCGGCCACTGTGGGGAGCCCCGGACCCTCCACCCGCCCTGCGCGGCTCTTACGCGGGGCGCTCCAGCTTCCGGCCTGGCTAGGACGGCCTCGGGGGGGGGGCGGGGCCTCACAGTTCCGGTCCCCCCCCAGGGTGCCGGCGCTCTACCGGGAACCAACTGTCGGTGCCGCGCGGCGGAAGCTGACACAACCCAAGGGAGTGGAGAGCTGGGACTCCCAAGTTCAGCAGAAGGGGCCGGGAGCAGGGGAACTACTGCGCATGCGCTGGGCGCGTGACCTTGCCCCGCACAGGACGCAGGTCCTAGAGCGTTCTCCTTCCGCTCGCTGGGGTAGCTGAGTTCGCCTGCCGCATCGCCCGTTCCCGAGCCAGTGCGCGTGCGCGTCCTGGGGGACGTCGGGGCCTCTTCGCCTTCCCTCCCTCTCACGCCCCGAGAGCTCTCGGTACTACCATGGTGCTGAGCGGTTGCTCGGGGGTCAGGCTTTGGGGCAGGGCTCGGGTGGGGGTCCTGGACCCCAACCATCCCCTGAAGGGGAGGCCTCCGGGGCCTGACGTGGGCGCCTCCAAGATCCAACTGAGGCCTGCTGTGGGGGTCCGTGGGGTGCAGGTGGGCCCCCCCAGGCCTGCTGTGGGGGTCCCTGGGGGGCAGGTGGGCCCCCCCAGGCCTGCTGTGGGGGTCCCTGGGGTGCAGATGCGGTCCCTCAGGTTTCCACTGGGGCCCCTGTTTGCCCAATTGCGGCCCTATATGGGGGGGCCCTGCAACAGTGCAGCGGGGCAGCATTGGGAGGGCAGTGAGGTGCTGCTGGATGTGTGCCAAAGGAGGCACTTTCTAAGAGGGGACCAGCAGCAGGCACTCACTTGGGACTCTTACCTGAGGGGCTGCCACCCAGGCCTTGGGCCCCTGGGGATGGAACTGAGGAAGAACTTGGCAGCCCAGTGGTGGGCCTCGGTGGTGGTTTCCAGGGAGCAGGTGTCTGCAGTGGATTCTTTGCTACATCGTGCTCCAGGAGCTGGCATGCTGCCAGCAGGGGAGGCTCTCAGGCTGATACAGGTTGGAGCTCTGCGTGAAATCTTCCAGAATAAAGAATTAAACAAAGAGCAGATAACTGCAGCTCTGGAAAAGGTGCTAGGGATGTCTGGGGTACTGCGAGAGGACCTTCTTCATGGTACGTTCTTGGTCTTATTATCCCCAATGAACAATATGTTTAGAAATTGCAGGCATGATATCATCTCTCATTATCTGCTGGTTGGGAGCCAAAGGCAGGTGGGTTACCTCTTTGTATTTATCCCACTGGATAAGATTAATCTGTTAAAACGATTTACCGGTTGCAATTTCCTGTTGTGATGTTGCCTCAGTGTGTTACAAGTTTGTGTCCTCGTCAGGTACTATGGGCTTGGCTACACTGGCGCTTTACAGCGCTGCAACTTTCTCGCTCAGGGGTGTGAAAAAACACCCCCCTGAGCACAGCAAGTTACAGCGCTGTAAAGCACCAGTGTAAACAGTGCCCCAGCGCTGGGAGCGCTCCCAGCGCTGTAAACTAATCCCATCATGGAGGTGGAGTACTCCCAGCGCTGGCGCGCAACCACACTCGCACTTCCTGCGGCTGCGCTTTGAAGTTTTGAGTGTAGCCACAGCCTGAAGCAATGTAATCATGCCTTGTGATGCCTAAATGTGTATGTGACCGTTAACTGTTCTGTCAGCATTGGAGATGGGCCTGTGAGAACTGAATTTTTCACCAGTTATCTCAGAAACAGCAGTCCAAATGGCAGAGCTGGTACATGCAAAATACTATAATTAATGTATGGTAATTATCAAGTTGTGGTCTTACTGCTTTTACCTTTGTTCTCCCTTCTTGCTAAATGTCTGTGCTTTAGCTGTTCTTTAGATAAGTTAGAATTTAATTTTAATTATAATTAAAACTTAAAATACTTTCTAGAACTGCAGAAATGGATGATTTGTCTCATGACAGGTGCTCTAGAGCAATATATTAATTGTCTAGAATTGGTAAACAAGAGGCTGCCATGTGGACTTGCTCAGGTTGGAGTATGTTTTCATCCTGTTCCGGACATTGAGCCTCAAAATGACAACATCGCAAGGTACAGTAATGAAAACTGACAAACCTCTGTTTATATTTAAACTAAACAAATGCAAGCTCATTTTGGATATCTTTTTGAATGCTGTCTCTTGCTTTTCCCTTATTATTTTTTAAGGAGTTAACTTGCTGCCCCTTGCTATTGTTTAAAGAATAGGCGAAAGGACAATGTCTTCCCTTGTATGGTTTAGCTCCGCCAGAACTGCAGGACAGTGGCTTGATTACTGGTTACGCCAGCGGCTCCAGTGGTGGAGAAAGGTATTTGATATTCACTTCATCGTTACTGCTCTTTAAGCTAGAAAACATTGGGCTGCCTCTTACAGCATTTATGTTCTATGGGGGGGGAAAGCATTTTTAGGGGTCATATAGAATGATATTGCCAGATATCCACCTCTGAACTGCAACCACTTATGGGGTAAAATAGAGAAACTGTGTAAGAGTACATAACACTGTCAAACTGTTTATAATGGGAATTGGAAAACACCATTTTAGTTTGGGTTTCTGTTCTGAGTGATTTGAGGCTTGTGTGCTGTAACTGATTATAGCATTTTGGAATTCTAAAAGCTGTTGTTCTTAAATGGTCACAGGCCAGTGGGTTTGCATCTATATTTTAAGAGAGTTGTTATCATTTGCAATTCAGTTAATATGTACAATAAGTGGACATTTTAAATCTCTTATTTTTCAGTTTGCGATAGGCCCATCCAACTTCAGCAGCAGCGACTTTCAAGATAAAGAGGGAAGAAAAGGAAATCATTTGTACTACAGCTTTCCTTGGGGAAAGGAACCAATAGAAACGTTGCAGAGTTTAGGAGATAATGAACTGTTACAAATGTATCCAGGGAATAAATCAAAATTACATGTAAGATTCAGTTAATTTTTATTATATTTAAAATATTGCTCACTGGGAAAGCCTTCTGAGATACAAATCCCTGCTTTGGTGTGATCCAGTTTATTAACATGGAAATAACATTTTGTTTTTGAAACAAAGGCAGTGTGAGTGGTTGGTAGCCTGCACCCAAGCGATCTTGGACTATGATCTTATCAGGTCTCAAAAGCAGATAGATAGAAGGCCAGAGAATGAGCATAGAAACTGAACTATTCTCGGACTTCCAGAGCTGATCCTTGAAGTTAGACTTGAGGTACGTTGACAGAACAGTGTAGGGAACGGTATTTGATTGTGGTACTCCTTTGTTAAGTATTCTATTGTGAGTATGTTCCACGGCACTGCAGGGTCTGCACTAGTTGCCTTTCCGTGTGCGGTTTAAGGCAGGGGTTCTCAACCTTTTTCTTTCTGAGCTTCTTCCCTCCCCCCATGCTATAAACTCCACAGCCCAGCTGTGCCACAACAATTGTTTTTCTGCATATAAAAGCTAAGGCTGGCGTTAGGGGGTAGCAAGCAAGTTGTCCAGGACCCCACACCACAGGGGGCACTGTGAAATTAAGTGGCTCAGGCTTTGGCTTCAGCTACGGGTAGTGGGACTCGGTGCCCCGGGCTCCAGTCCTGTGTGGCAGGACTTTGGCTTTCTGCCCTGGGTCCTAGCGAATCTAACGCTGGCCATGCTTGGTGGACCCCTGAAAACTGCTTGTGGCTCCCCAGGGGGCCCCGGACTCCTGGTTGAGAAGCACTGGTTTAAGGCTTTGGCATTGACATATGAAACCCTGAGAGACCTTCTCTTTTCCCCCTGCTATTCTGCTACAGTTGAGATCAACAAAGATGCTCAAGCTGGAGCCCCTTGGTGTAAAAGAGAGGAGGCTCCTGGCAAGGTGTTCTCTTTGAGGAGTCCTTCACTTCTGAACCCAATTGCCTGGGTCTGAAATCCCTGCCTTGTTGTAAGGCAGAGGTTCTCAAACTGTGGTCCGCAAGCTCCATTCAGGAGGTCCACAGATAGTTCCCTTTAAGGTGCACACCTGGGTGGCCACCCACCTAATTAGTGGAGATGCGCAGGCGTGGCTCCACTAATTAGGTGCCTGTACTCTGGAGAAGATGCACATGTAAGGTGAGGTGGTGGCCTTGGGGGCAAGAGGGGGCAGTAGGGTGAGAAGAGGCGGTTGGGGGAATTTGGGATATTCAGGGCTTTGGCGGCCAGATAAAGAGGCCACTTTCCCCAGCTCCAGGGCTGTGGCTGCCGGGGAGAGACCCCCCCTCCTTCCCAGCCCCAGCTCAGAGGCTGTCATGGCGGGGGAGAGAGGGCACATCCATCACATTAGAAAGGTAAGACTACTGATATTAAAAGATGAGTTGTGTGCTTTTACTTGTAGAACAAAAAAAGTTAATTGTGTGTTGTTTTTTTAATGTAGCGCTTTTATCCAAAGCGCTTTACAATAGCTAACTAACGGTACAAACAACATTTGGAAAGATCATTAAGTGGTCCGCCGAGACCCTCAGCAATTTTCAAGTGGTCCATGGAAAAAAAAAGTTTGAGAACGGCTGTTGTAAGGCTTATCTTCTGGGGGGTCTTTTGGTGAGATGTTGCTTCAGAGGCAGTATTTAAGGAAGGTGGGGTGCTTCTCTCTCTTGCTACAGGCTTCAGTTAGATACTGCCGTATGTTGTGAGGTTGCTCCTGCTTGTACTTCTTTAATATATGTTTGTTTTAAATGTACATTGAGGGAACCCATCTTGGGATTGGTGCCTTCTTGTGTTCATTCATTTAAATACACTATTTATTTTTGAGGACTGTTACTTAGTGCATTTCTGTTGTGGTGTTTCTCCTGCAGGGCCGGGATGGAAGGAAGAATGTTATTCCTCATGTGCTGTCTGTGAGTGGCAATCTGGACCAAGGAGTGCTAGCATATCTTTGTGATTCTCTGCAGTTCACGGAGAGCTCTCTAACAAGAAAGAAAACTCTTCAAAGAAAGGTGACTTCTTTTAGTGTGTGTCAGGAAGAAGAGATTGTGAAAATAGTCTTACTAGGAAGCTACAAACTAAAACAGTCTGAGTGTTATATCAAATGTGGCTCACTTTATTCTAGTCTGGATTTCTGTTTTGAGAAAACACAAGACTGTACATATTGAATATATTTGCTAACTATGCATTTATTTTTCATTATTTCAAAAACATAAATATAGTTTAATATTCCTCAGGGTGGATAAAAATCAATGTTTTTTTAAAATAAATAAATAAATACCCAATTTTTTTCTATTTAAATCAGGTTTTTTCCTCAAAAAGCATTTTATCAAAAAAATCCATCTAAAGTTACATTATAGCTCAAAGATATCTCATCATAGAATAGGGATTATAAATTCTAATTCTATGGTATGAGACTATATATATTCATGTAATGTTTAAGAAAAGTTTTGTAAATGAGTTCCAGTAGTTAATGGATTAGGGACCTAGCTTCCAGGGGCTTCTGTATAGATTACTTAGGTTAATCTTTCTATCTACCCAATGGGACTCAGTGCTCAGTCTAGAAGATACCATCAGAGATACTTAGTTTTGCAGTTCTCAAACTCTGGATTTGTGTCTCCAGAGATAATATGCTTGTTAACAGCAAAAATGTTTTAAAATAAATAATATATAGAGGTGAGAAATAAGACCTCAACCCTATTGTCCCTCTGCAAAATTGTGTACATAGAGTCAATCCCTTACCTCTCTCTAAAAGCGCAAAGTTTCAAAAAGTTCAATGAATAGAAGATTGTTGGGGGTGGAATAGATCTGGACAAGAAGAAGTCTGGAGATAAATTTGAGAAGGGAGGGACAAGCAGTAGAAACAAATGTGAAACTGTTTGAACAGCATATTCCAGAAGTCTTGAAGTCTTTCTGAGTGTAGCCTTCATTGATTTGAGATCTACTATACCATTCTCTTACCAGAAGGGAAAACCTATAATGGCAGCAGGCGGTAAGAGACCCAGTTTGAGAATATTTTAATGAAGTTTCTCTACCTGTGAAGAATATGTATTCAGGTTATAACAACCAAGAAGAATGCACTTTTATGTAGAAATCCATGATTAAATCGAGTCTTCCTGACTAGTGATTTAAATGAATTTGATTTAAATAAAATCCACCCCAATACTCATATATTTCACTAATACTCTTTTAGTTCTGTTTCATGTATTTAATGTAAATACCCAGTAACATGTTTCTTGCAACATTGTTAGGTACTTAAGCTTCACCCTTGTTTAACACCAATAAAAGTTGCTTTGGACATGGGAAGAGGCCCAACAATGGAGCTGAGACAGGTGTGTTGTAACTAAGCATTTAATTGTGGGAGTTGGAGTTACATGTAGTCTTGTGCTGTAATTCTCATACTGATGTTTTTTTAAAACCTTCTATTCATGTGAGGAAGATTCTGCTTCTCCTTCATGGGCATGAAGGGCCCTTACTGCAGTGAAAAAGCATTTTCACTGTGCAGGATTTAGGAAGCCCCTGCAGAGATCCATATTCCCTGCATGCTAGGAGGTGCCCTGTGGAATGTGGATTTGGGAGCAGTGGACACATCTGTTAGGTCCACTGTGATTAATCCCACATGGAGTGGGGGAACAGAAACATCCAGGCTTTAATGTCTGCTCTTCCTCAAGCTGTATTTAATAGAAAAGTAATATTGACTAATTTTTTTGGAGTTTATTCTGCATATAAACTAAATTTGTTTAATCTTTCATAGTAGTCTTAAGGGTAACAATGGTAGGGAGGAAATCTTCAGATGAAGACTTGACTTTTTTCAAGTTAGTGATGTCTATGTAAGAAATATACATGGGGAAAAGACCTTTTTATTTAGATATGCATATGGGGAACTATGTATAACCATGAAGATCTCTTAGCAGTAGTGCTCTCTTTTCTGAGTGCATGTTTCTGTTAATTTATAAACAAGCTTTAATATCAAACAGAGACTACAGTTTGTATCGCTCCTTCTCCCAACTTTTTAAACCTCTTAAGACTGTCTTTTTTTTTTTTTTTTTTTTTTTTTAAGGTGTGTCAGGGGCTGTTCAATGAATTGATAGAGAAAGGAATTTCTGTGTGGCCTGGATATCTTGAAACCATGCACACACCCCTGGAGCAACTCTATGCAAAGTAAGAAAAAAATAAAATGTCAAGTGGAAAGATGGCTTTCCTTAAAGTAGCAAAAATGAATGTGATTTCAGTATAAAGTCATCAGGTACAGTAACCAAATCACTGAAGGTTCTGAAAAACAGATTGAGACTTGATATCTCTAACAGCATTTAAAAAAAACCCTTGAATTAGTTCACGTTAAAAAAAAAAAAAGAGGGATTTCAGTAAACTTTTTTATTTTTCATACTTCAATTATTTTTGTGTGTGTGTGTGTTTTTTTTTGTTTTGTTTTGTTTTGTTTTTTTTTCTCTTCAGTTGCTAATAATAAACCATTCAGGAAACTGTAGTTTCTTAGGGTATGTCTACACCCAGCCGCTAGTTCGGCGGCTGGCAATCGAAGTTCTGGGTTCGACTTATCGCGTCTTGTCTGGACGCGATAAGTCGAACCAGGAAGTGCTCGCCGTCGACTGCGGTACTCCAGCTAGACGAGAGGAGTACCGCGGAGTCGATGGGGGAGCCTGCCTGCTGCGTGTGGACCGAGGTAAGATCGAACTAAGGTACTTTGAACTTCAGCTACGTTATTCACGTAGCTGAAGTTGCGTACCTTAGTTCGATTTGGGGGGTGAGTGTAGACCAAGCCTTAGAGTGAATCATAAATCTACTGAACCAGTTTACATCCAATTTTGCATCTGGACTGACTTCTGCATTTCATTCTTAAGCTTATAACTGTTGTTATATAGAACCCAGCCCTGCAACCGATACCAGCTTGAGTAATTCTCATTCACACAAGCAGTCCTACTGAGTAAGACAGGGGTCAGCAACCTTTCAGAAGTGGGGTGCCGAGTCTTCATTTATTCACTCTAATTTAAGGTTTTGTGTGCCAGTAATACATTTTAATGTTTTTAGAAGGTCTCTTTCTATAAGTCTATAATATATAACTAAACTATTGTTTTATGTAAAGTAAATAAGGTTTTTAAAATGTTTAAGAAGCTTCATTTAAAATTAAATTAAAATACAGAGCTCTCTGGACCAGTGGCCAGGACCCGGGCAGTGTGAGTGCTACTGAAAATCAGCTAGCGTGCCATAGGTTGCCTACCCCGGAGTAAGAATTGCTCATGCCAATTAAGTTTGCTAGAACTGGCCCACATCAACCTACAAAACATAAGTAGACTAAGGAGTAAAAAAAAAAAAAAAAAAAAATCTTGATTGTGCTTTTCTCTTAACATTAATAGAGGTTTTCAGCAAGAAACAAACACATGCTGTTTTAACATAGCAAAGTTAATAAGTCATGTTCATGTACAATACTCTTCAAAGTATGGCTGGTCAGCTAGTAAATATTGGAGAAATGGTAACATTTTTCTCCTGTGAAAAATGTCCCTATTGTAGGTTACTAAATAAAACTCCCCTTTTATTGCAAAGGAATCTAATAACTTACTGCAGTTAACTAGAGAAGATCAAGGAGCTGAAAGTAAGAAAATAGGCATCTTCATATTGGACACAGAACTACATGCAAAACTTGAACATATACATATTGCTCTGGGATATAACCCCAATCTAAGTCTGCCACACACCAAGGCAACAATACTGTAACAGCGGTAATGAGTGCTCGTTCTTTGGCAGGTATGATGAGATGAGTGTCCTCTTCACAATCTTGATCAGTGATGCTACGCTGGAGAATGGAGTGGTTCAGCTGAGAAGCAGAGACACAACCATGAAAGAAATGATGCACATCTCTCTATTGAAGGACTTTTTAACTAAGTACATTACAGCAGCTAAAAATGTATAAATTAGAACCTCTCTAATAAAAGGAATTTTGTATCTGTGTTTAAATTTGATTTCCAAAGTATCACACTGAATCAGTGGCACAGATGAAGTACAAGCCAGGAATTCTGAGTCACAATACCCTACTCTGTTGCTAGATACCATTCATTCTTATTTATATGAGTGGGGAAGTACCCATGACAACCTCCAAAACTGATGTTGATAAAGCTTTCTGATGCACTCATTCTCTATCAAATCCAAATCCTCTATGAAGATCTTCCAGCCTGCTGAAAGAGGCAAACCCAGCTCTGTCCATCATGGGTAGAGCAGGGCTAATAATGCTCATCTGGAAAGCTTACCAATTGGAGAACTTTCACAGCCAGGAGAACTTACCCTTATCTCAAACTGGCAGGCTCAGGACACCTCTTCCAGCCTGCACTGAGAGAGGCAAAACCATATTTATCCACCACAGGTAGGGCAGAGCTAATCATGCTCAGCTGCAGAGCCTGCCAGTTTGATAAAGTTTTCCTGGCTGTAGAAGTTCTCTAATTGGTAAACTCTGCAGATGTGCATTATTAGCCCTGCTCTACCCTTGATGGACAGAGCTGGGTTTGCCTCTTTCTGCAGTGCAGGCTCAAAGATGTCCTAGAAGATTTGGTCTCCTGGAAGAAATCCAATTTATGGAAAATAGCCTAAGTTTTCCTTCGTTGAGAGTCTAGATAATACGCATGTTGCCGATATATGGTGACAAATGCCGGTCTCTGCTGCAATGGGAAGATAAATGGGAGTTGAGACTTTCAAAAGCTTAAATGTGGAAAAGGTCAATTGAAAAGCAAAGCCATCGGATGCATTGCTTTTAGAGAAAGCAGTGTTTGTTACTAGGTGAGTATGTTTCTCTACATGGCCTCTGTTTTCCAGTTCAGTCTTTAGACTGCTGTCATTTCTGGTTTGAATATAACATATTAGTTGTTTGTTCTGCCTTTCAAGGATACCAGAACAATTTGAAGAACTAAGCTGTAAACATTTTATTTCAAGTAATCCATTAATGTAGATAGGGAAAATTGTTTGCTACAGGGTGAGTGAGGAAGCAATATGGAGTGGGTAATATACTGGTCTTATACCCCTAAGTATTGTAGCTGGGACCCAGGTGTCTAGGTCTGAGTTGAAATGGCTGTGGCAGGGAAATAGTCAACTCTTCCAGTGTTAGGGGGTTATGTCAAGTCCCACTCCCCAAAATGGAAAAGACTGGGGCAATACCAGGCAGGAGTCCTGCTCAAGTAAAAAACTTGTACCCAGGAGTCCTGGAAAGCTGCTCCCTGGCAGGCAGTAGTAGTTAGCAAGGCAAATGATGGATCCTTTAGGGAGACATCTTGCCAAGCAAGCAGCTACTGGGTCAGATTTTTTAAGAGAACTATGGCTAAACAAGGCCTTTTTATTCTCTGCTTATTTAAAATCCTGTTTTATTTCCTGAAATTCCTGACAAGCACAGGAGCAAAGCTCTCTGTGTGAGAGCCTTATAGCTGGACCATGGTAGCTAACTGGTGGCTTACTCCTTCCCGCCGATACATCAAAAGAGTAATGCCAGTGGAGAGTCCAGTTGCACCACCATGTTGATAGTACCTTTTTTTTTTTTTTTAACAACTAGGCCCATTAGTGACAGTGGCATTACTTGTGGAGTAAAGTACTGTGCATGAGTAAAGGAATCAGAAATCTGGGCATCAATTAACTTCTTTCTCTAACATGTTTTGTTTTTCTGTCTTGATCAAACTGGAATCTCTAAAAGTCAGGGAGAGGAACCCATTCTTTAATATTAGCAGGGGAGGAGATTAACATCAGCTTCTGACTACAAAATAATTAGGGTGGGGAAACTAGCATCTAAATGTTTGCTTATGTGCTTCCTATACAGGCACGGTGGTGCTAGCAAAATTTACCAGGGTAGAGGTTCTCTTTAAAAAATATTTTATATAATTCTCTCTCATGTAAATCATCGGAGAGGAAACTTACCTTGTTGCGTTCCATCTCTTATGATGACGTCAGAGTAGACAACTGTAGTATCTGCCCTCATGTTCACTAAAAGTCAGAATAGACAGTCAATAACCCTTAAAAAGTCTACAGTAATTGAGCTATATTTAAACATGCCTCTTGTAGCTCAATAACTAACGACACAAATAGGACAGTTTCAGAATGAAGCTGTTGCATTTGGGATCTCAGACGGTTATGGGTAGTTCTTTTCAGGTCAAGGATTCTAACTGGAGTGAGAAGTTCTCTGTAGCAGGCAGTCTTAACTATTTATTCCACAGACCACTTAATAAAATAAAGTTGGTTGGTTTGGGGTTTTTTTGTGTAGGCGATTTTCCCCTCCCAAAACGTTATTTTCATATTTAATCTTAAAAGTTTCCTGATTTTTTTTTTTGAGGGTTTGTTCAAATTAACTATTGTATTCTTGTAAAGATTTTTGCCCTTAAGTTATTTGTATGTACTCTGAACCTTAGTTCACCTTAATGAAGATTTTTGTGTGAGAATTCATAGGCACTCATAACATCCACAAGGTGGGAAAGTATTATTCCTATTTTAAAGATGAGAAATTGTCAAAGAGCTCAAGTGGTCACTGTGGTCATACACCGAGTCAGTGTTAGCCACAGGATTAGTTCATGGGAGTTTCTGTTAGCCAGTCCCGTGCTCAAACCAATAGAAACACCCGTTCTCCCTTTAAATAAACAACCTTCCTTGTACCTCCAACCCATTAGTCTAGATGCTGGTAGCTAACACTTGAAGGCAAAGTGGGGGCATATTTTAGTGTCTGCCTGAAATTAATTCTAGTTTCATCCTTCTTGTCTTCAAATGCCCTTTGAATGCTAACCACAAGGGATCTGTCTCCATAGGGAGTTGTGCTTAACCTCTGCAAAGAGGGAGCATGCAGTGAAAGTGGTTTACAAAGAGTGAGACCGGGCAGTTGTCAGGCCCTACTGCAAGTGAACATTTGACTATGCTATCAATGCACAGTGAACTCCAAAATGCATGAGGTAGTTTTGTCATTAATCCACAGATGTGTTTGGGATACACACATCTGTGCTTAAATCAGTTTTTATTCCATTTCCAGAACATTAGTTGTATGAACTTGAAAATGTGAAATGCTTCATTTTGCCCATGGTCACAATCTAAGCCTTTTACCTTTCCTATCTTCCTCCTCTTTTCTAATCCGTATGTTGGCGTACTCGAGTTCTTCAGATTTAGCATACTCTGGATGGAAACAAGTGAAAAAGAGTTCAAGGTTCAGTTGCAGGCGATTACAGCTTGGTGAATTTAAGCTTGTGAAAGCACTGACACTCAGCCTGTGGTATAAGACCCACATGGGCCTCTCACAGAGTCTGCATTTGTTCTCCCTCTACATACTCTTGGACAGTGCAAGTTGAGGACTCTCTACCTGATGTGAAAAATTGCAGGGGGTGCAGAGCAGCCGGAATACCTCCCCATTCCTCCTAGCAGACAGGTGGAGGGGGAGAGAGGAAAAATACCCATTTTCCCATCTTCATTCCAGTTGCTAGAAACAGGGGTGGTGAAGATAGGGAAATATCTTCCCTTTTCCCCAGCCTCCACGTGGGGTGGCGGAGATAAAGCCTTTGGTCACGAGACATATGACAGAACTTCAAGATAATCCTGGCATGGTGTCTGTCCTGCGACGTTTTTATTAGGAGGTATGTTAGTCCACAATGTTATAACTAAGGTGATGCTTTTTGTCATGGGTATTTTTAGTAAGTCACAGACAGGTCACGGGCAGTAAACAAAAATTCACAGAAGCCCCTGACCTGGTCTTTTACTAAAAATATCAGGGGGTAGGGAAACTTACAGTGTGAGCCCTCGCGCTATGGGCTGACAGCCATCTGCGGCTCCAGCTCTGGGAGCTAGCCACCGGCCGCCACTCTAGCCCTGGGGGCTGACCATCGGCCCCGGGGCCTGGCTGCTAGCTATTGCCGCTCCGGTCCTGCCACTGCTCCTGTGGCTGGGGCTGACTGCCGCTGGTCCAGCCTCGCTGCAGCAAAGCGGGATGACAGCTGCTCTAGCCCTGAAGTCACAGAGGTCTGTTAAAGTCACGGAATCTGGGATGTCTGTGACAAAATCTTACCCTTAGTTATAACGCAACATGGAGACACTATGTCAGCTGTTGCCCAGTTATTTTGTGACTCCATTTTGGGGGAAAGTGGCTCTGAATCTCTTCAGCATTGAGCAACCCTGAGAGTGAAGAACTGAAATATACGCTGAAGAATACAAAGCAAAATGCAGAAGCTGTGCAATTGTTTTTCACTTTTGCTGGCAACCCAGAAATCCTTTCCGCACTTTAGCAAGGGGCTCTTGTGTAAATCTAGGCTCTGCTTTACTTACTAGTATTTCATTTTCTCTTTGCTTTGTGGTTGTCACTCCCTTACCAATACCTCCACAGACACCCAAACACGAACTTTCCTTCTAGTTCTGTCCTGATTGGACCTGAGGGATGGTTCACATAAGTTTCTAAGGATCTTTCTAATGAATGTCATTCCCCAGGCTGCAATTTGGCTCTTGGGCTGGCATGAGATGCACATATAGGGCCTGATCCTGAGAGATGCTGAGCAACTTCCAGTCAAGGTCAATGAGAGTTCTATTGGGTCAGTAACTTGCCTGTAGTGATCACCCATTTCCCATCTTCCCCGTTTGAGACCAAAAGGCATCATCCATAAACTTTATCTAGGACTAGTTAATCATGTCCTGCAGCCAGATTCCTGCATGTGAGTCCCACGACTAAAGAAAGAGCAGTTTGGAATTTACCAATCTCAGTGTATGTCACGTAGTTTTCAGACCCTGTTGCTTTGTCCGTTGAAACAAAACCAGTTGAGCAGCCAGCTGACTTCAGTTTTCCTGCAAGAGGTAAAGAAAACAAAATTATTCAAGTGATAAAAATATCAACTGCTCCAAAAATGTATGTCCCATGATTTTTTTGGGGTTTGTTAGATATTTTAAATAATTTTATAGTCCTGATGAACATCATTCCTTAGCAAGCAGTACTATTCATGCCTGACTGCATCTTTACTT